TACTTTAAGAATTTTTGGGCCGTAGATCTTTGATAGATCCGATATGCTGTAATTCTTGCTTGTTTTTTAGGTTGGTTTTGGCCAATTCTTTATTTTCCCTGCGAAACATCAACTTGACACTTGGACTGTTGCCCCCCAGAAGACACGCGATATGGCGTGATTCTGTGGGTGTTAAGAGTTCTTGGGTCAGGGCTTAAAGTCAAAGTGCGCGGATATTTTTCATCAGAGCTTTCTCTGGTTGTTGCGCCAAACTGACGAGCCCCAAACAGGGCGAAACAGCTGTCTATGACTACAATCCCGCTCTGTTTTGAGTTCTTTCGGTGTCGTGTTGATGTCTTGCAGAGTTAATTATTTCACGTGGTACGATCAGCATTGCAGTATTCTGCTTGCAGAATTTAATATGTCTACATTATTATTTTTGCTGATCAGATCTTTTATGTATTAACCTTTTTAGCTCCTAAAGACTCCTGAAGCGCAGACAAGGATCACTTGCCTTTTCTTTTACCATGGAGTCAAGAGAGAAATACAGAAGTGGAAAGAAGTCGAAGAAACCCCTTCTTTGCCTGAGGATGAAAAACAGAACATTTTACTGAAATGCAAGATTTCAATTAGCAAATACGCAAAGGTTGCACTGCTGGCCAACTCATTTATGCAACGGAACAGCTCTATGGAAATTCGCATAGTTGACTCGGAAAAGTATGATGTGGAAAAACAGAGGGAGGTGGAAAGGGAGACTTTTGCCCTCATCCGTCTTAAAGGTAGGAATAGAATCCATGTGTTTTTGTAGTTAAGCTACACGTATACAACAAACCAGCAAACGTCAGATTCAAGTTGAAAATTTTCAAGATAGAAACTGAGCAGATAAAACAGTTCAAAACAATTCTTATGGATAAAAAAGTGAGTGAAACTACTAATTTATGCGTAGAAATAATGAACAGTAAACGACTGGTAAAGGGGAAACGTGGTCACGTGATACAAATTCACGTTTGCCGTTTGACGTACGTTAAGCTTTAAAACCTCTCTATTAGCTGCTGTTGTTGCTTCCATTGAAATATAATCGTTCGATTTCCTAACTACTCTAACCTGCGATCAGGCGTTCTTAGTTTTCGGGGAAAGCTCGAAAATGAGCGGACGGTTTACACAATTACTGCTTTTTGATACCTTATTAACTGGATTAAACGCCTCCACGTTTATTAAATTTTTAGCGTTTACGATCTGATTCAGGAGCGATGTCTATTTTAATTTGGTGACATTTTTTTAATCACTGACAAAAATTACGATTATCATAATCATTTTTATTCTTCTAAGTTATGTAAAACAGAAGGATGTTTTAAGTTCAATGGTTTGTTTGTTTTTCTTTGCTGAGATTCGTAATTGCCTGGATGGGGTAGGTTACCAGGTTGTACCGAGTTTTTCCCTCCCCTAATATACGCCGCAATGTACTGAGTGGGTGCGCGTTTGGTGATGTTTTCTTCCATGACATGATGAATGTATTAATTAGTTTTAAAGAAATGTAAACCCTATAGCAACATTAGCAAAAAATGTAATCTTTGTCTTTTTATGAAAATATCAACCACCCATATTTTACTGCCAGCTTTTAATTTTAACGGTCAATCGTTGAAGTTGCCTGATGAGTGTGGTCCTATACAATTTCAGACCAAAGGAAACAGAACTGTCGCAATTAGATGATCGATGATTACTCCTGAAGCCTGCACTCCTGTTATTATTAATAGTCAATGCTCTTCAATTAAATGAATTGAGCGTTCTACGAAATACGTTCTACCCAGAATACAAGTATGAATTTCATACCGTATATTGAACTGCGCGAGATGAAAAAAATACATAGAAGATTATCACAGTTAAGTACTCAACTTATGCAGTTGTGAAAAGAAAGCCTGAAAAAGTTCCGACTTTGTCGGTATTCAAAGCTCAATTTGGCTTTTTAGCTCAATTAATTAGAGCTCTGCACCAGTATCGCAGAGGTCAGGGTTCGAGTCCCGGCAAGGCTGAATTTTTTCCAGGCTTTCTTTTCGCAGTTGCATAGGTTGCGTATTTAATTGTGATGATCTCCTCGGTATTTTTCTTCCATCTGCAGCATTTAATCGAAAGTGGCGTTTAATCGTTAGACACGGTAATATTCCCTAGGCCAGTTTTTTTTTTCAGCATTGTTCGTACTTATAGGAATCAGGAAAGGTAGACCATCGAGGTGGAAATCTCTTCAAAACTGACTCAAACAGTTGGATATTGATTCCGTTTCCCCATACGTTTATCGTCTATCTAAAAGGGATAACGTTTAGTTATTTTAGGGGGTTCTGTGTCATACGCAAGCCCCTTCTCCTAAAACAGACACTGGCTGATGCTTGGTCAACTTTATTCCAAACAGTTCCTTGTATTTCCTGTGAAAAAACTGCCCATTCCAACAGTTTGATATCTGGTGATCAGAAACAGGCATTTTCCGCAAAACACTCCACCACTCTTATTTCGTTAATTCTTTCTGAAGGACGGGTAATATAACTAGAGGGATAGAGTTTCTGCATAGTATAGTCAGCCTGTGTGCTAAGGCCTCCTTGAAAATAATGACCGAACGCGTAGCGCGAGGTCAGCTATTTTTCAAAAGGCAGAGGAGTGAGGGCATTATCCGATTAAATACACCCTTCCATTGTTTCAGAACGAGCAAGGCATTATTGTGGCCTCCGAAGTGGAACAGTAGCTTATTATTCGTAATAATAACCTCCTGTTCCACCCCAGTGGCTTGCTCCTCCCATTTCTTGTAAATAATAACCTGTTCAACAGAATGAAAGGCGCATTAAAGCCACATCCTACATTTTACAGGTGGAACAGATGAAGCAATCTGCTACGCTGATCAAGCATCATCTCCAGATCAGCGAAATTTTGCTTCTCATCTCGTGAACATCAATGGGGAGGAGGTTGCGAACAAGCGAAAAGTCTACGAGAAAAGTCGATTGGTTGCCTGGAGTAACGAAGACTCTATCCTGAAACTTGCAACTACCATCATGAAAGAAAACTCTGAGATGAAGGACAGATTCGGCATTGACGCAATTGAAGTAAGCCTTTTGTTTTGGTCGTTTGTGTGTCCCTTTATCGCTAGCCCTTTTAAGCCGCGTTAAAATGCCTCGATAATCTGCGTTTTTGAGCGGCTCTTCAAATAGTTTTAGCACAGCCAGACCTAATCCACCAAACGTAGCATTTTCAAGCTGCGCGTATATTTCTCTCACGCCACTAATTGCAGGGCTGGATGTGCAGTGCGGGGTTTGGAAAAAGTTAACGGGATTACATACGGGAATTGACGGCTACCGGAGATGCGGGATTCGGAAAAAGTTAACGGGATTACATACGGGAATTGACGGCTACTGGAGATGCGGGATTCGCCAAAATACAGTGCGGGATTCAGAAAAAGTTAACGGGATTACATACGGGAATTGACGGCTACCGGAGATGTGGGATTCGCCAAAATACAGTGGGGGATTCGGAAAACGTTAACGGGATACGGGAATTGAATGCTGCTGGAGAAGAGGGATTTGACCAAAATACAGTGCGGGATTCGGAAAACGGTAATGGGATTACATACGGGAATTGACGGCTACCGGAGATGCGGGATTCACCAAAATACAGTGCGGGATTCGGAAAACGTTAACGGGATACGGGAATTGAATGCTACCGGGGTAGCGGGGCTCACTAAAATTTGGGCACTGATGTGGGATGGGAAAGAAAATTATGTTCGGGAGAGCGATGAGAGAAATTCGGGATTCGGTATTTTCGTGATGCGTGTTCGGGATACGGCATTCTCGTGAAAAAAGAGTGGGAATACGTGATCAGGGCCTCCCAGTCTCTGTTATTGTCTGTAAGTAGCATCTTCTTTCCATGCTATCGTGATTGACGAAAATGGCTTTTAAGAAAAATGATGCGTTCGAGCACACTTTGTTTGGGTTTTGTGACATTGGTCAAAAAATAATAGCCGTGATAGCCATTTACTAAACGGAAGCGACGATTTACAGAGACAAGAAGGAACAGGTAAACCGTCCGAGACAAAAATGACATTGAATGAAGAAGTTACCGAAAAGTACGAAAGGAAAGCGCAAGGCTTGTTAGTTTCTTGGTTGGTGTTGTGTCTTCAATTTTTAAAAAAATCTCTCAACAGAGCGAAGACTTGGCTGACCTGGAACAGCTGACTCGAATAAGCAACAAATTTAGAAGCGAGCTTGATGCAGGCTACTTTGATCGTATCGGCGAGGGAAACTTTGGTTACGTGTACAAAGCTCAAAAGGGCAAACAAGATGTTGCTGTGAAGATCTTAAAGAATAAAGAAGACAAGGATCTGATCAATAACTTCGAGAGAGAAGCTGATATGTTGAGGTAAGTTCAAGACTCTATTTGATAAATAACGTTATTAAATAAAAGTGGCAAATGTTTCGTTAATGTAGCGATGTCACGACTATTTCCAGGGGGAAAAACAAGCAATAACTACTTTCCGTTTTGCTGATTACTGTATTTATTCGATTAAGTGCCCAACCTCGAATAAGCGCCCACTGCTCTCCGCCCCCCACCAAGAAAAAAATTGACCTTACTGACAATGAGATTGAAATTTACAAAGTGATACTTAGCTAGAAACTTCCCACGCGACAATGTTTTCTGGTACATCTTCACGTTTTGTAATTATTTATCGATTGCTGTAAAATAAATTTACTACTTGCTGAAAATGGTGAAAATTTAGCCTCTGCGTTAGTACTGCAGTGCTCTACCAACTGAGCTGTGAAGAACCATACACAGAGAGCAGGCCAACGTGTTAATTTCATCTTAGCCCGCAAAAAAGAAATGAGACGCGGAGGTCATGGGTTGAAATATCGTTGAGGCCCTTTAACGATTTCCCGGGCTTAATTGGTAATTACATTGCGATTACAACTTCGATGGTCATGTCTTCATTTAGATTTGTATTCTTGGAGTTCCCATAATCTTCATTCTGTAATTCTGATCACTCTTAATTCAAAGCTCCTTGTTTTCTATTGGCATCTGTTCCATACGGCCTTAGAGGCAAGCCGCTGATCAAAGTATATATTATTTTTATTCTCTGACCAGAAAAGCGAATCACCCAAATATTGTACAGGTCATCTCTATACACATCTCCAAGAAAAGTGAGTTGTCCATCGTGATGGAGTTTATGGCTGGAGGAAATCTCAAAGACCTGTTGAGAGAAAACAAGCAAGGAATGGGAAAAGAGTTCACAGTTACATTCATTGAAGATATCGGCTCAGCTATCGAGCATCTTCACTCGCTTGGTGTTATGCACAGGGACGTTAAACCGGAAAACATCTTTGTGAGTACTAGTTTAAATTTTGGTGCAGTCATTTTGTCTTTACTACTAACTTTTACTGGTGTGAGTTCCTACAGTAAACCAGAAATTTCTGTTTAGCCTACTTTGGGCCGTGTGTTGACGTGTGCTCTGTGTGCATAGCACCCCCAAAACGCGACAATTGGAGTCTTGTTCTCCTGGAGACACGTGATATAGCGTGATCCGGTGGGTGTTGGAGTTCATTGTTGAGGCTTAAAACGGAGTGAGCGGGTATTTTCTCAGCAGAGCTTCTCTGTTTGTTAAGCTGTCCTGACTAGCCACAATTATGGCGAAACAGCTGGCTACAACCCCGTTCTGTTTTGGGTTACAATGGTGTCCTGCTGATGTCTTGCAAAGTTACTTTTCATGCACTAGTACGATCAGAAGTTTGCAGAATTCAGTGTGTGTACTTTGGTATATTTTTGCTGGTCAGGTCCTCTTTAGATCCTACGCTCTGCGGCAAATTCGTTTGCAGTCCTTTGCAGTTAATAGTGAACTTATGCAACAGGACGGGAGAGAAAAGAAGACGGTAAACCTTATGTGACAAGCGTGACAGTAATTGTTTGAAATAACTTTTCGTCAAACTTCACTTTCAAACTTTTTATACAGATCTTTTTGTAAAAGACCAGAAAACATTGATGATAGTGAAGTTCACAACAAAACACGCTAGTAATGGCCTTGTCGCGTTCGTCACGCACAAGGGATTTGCCGTCCTCTTCTTCCTGCCGTCCTGTTGCGTAAACTCACTAATGTCCAAAACTGTGGCCAGTGGTTGCTGTTGCTGCTTATTTCTATTGCGTTTTTCTGTGAGTAGGTGGAATATGATTGTCCAGGTGAGATAGTTCCGGGTGAGTCTAGTCCTAGTCAGTGAGGTAGGAAGAGTCCACAGAAATCATCCTTAACGAAAATTTGAAGAAAGGGCGCAAACATTTAAACATATCAGTTTGTTCCCTCCAAAATTTCTCATCAGTTGTCGAAAGATCATAAAGTCCTAAAGCTTGGGGACTTTGGCCTAGCCCGTGCTACTATAGGATCAAAAAGCAGGAAAACTGAAACTGGATCGTACCGCTATATGGCTCCGGAGGTAATGAATTCTGAGGGCAAGTATTCCGAAAAATCTGATGTTTACAGCTTTGGTAAGTATGGGTTACTTTGGTAATAGTGCAAGGTCTTATTTCGTTCCCTCCGAGGTTTTTTTGATTAGCATTTTGAAGGCCCTTGGACAGGGTCAGCGCCAACCTGCACGAAAGGAAAAAATGGAGCGTAACTGTTGGATTCCCTCTTCTCTCGCCCTAATTTGTTTTGCAAACTTTGAAGGTCTGAAATTTATATTTGAGGTGCAGTGGGATCTTTGCATATTAAACAGTCACGTGGGACAAAACCACCTTGCTGGCGAGCATGAGACACAGTGGGCAAAAACAAACAAAAACAACAACAATACAATGATATCTTATAACAAGCTAATCTTCCTTCTTGCAAGATCCCACTGCATCTTTTGCTCTCGATAGAAATTTTTTTTTTACCTCGGGGCTGTTTTGCTGCAAAGAGCCCATTCTAGCGTTTTAAATGTCCCTTGTGTTACGGCAATTTTTCCTGCTCGACTTTCTTAACGTTGCACGACTTTTTCCTTAAGTGTAAGGTTGCCAGGTGGTTTTTGCGTTACGTTTCCTCTTTGAAAACGCTGATCCCATCTTGAGCCAATAATTCTCTGGTCATCAAGAAAGAGAGAATCATGCCAACAGGTTTACTTCAAATTCATATGGCAAAAGCTTTGCAATTGCCAGCTAGGCCACTTCCACTCTTTAAAGAAATGTCACGTCCTTACGTAACCAAAGCAGTCATTCCTGAGTAGTATAGTAGGGATAAAATTAATCTTCTTTAATATCCTGCTTCGAAAGATGCACGTTTTGGTTTTAGGTTGTGCTTGGTTTAACCTGACTGATAGTTTTGAGCTATTTCAGGATTTTTATTGCCTGCCTAAATTTATAGAGCCGTTTGTTGGTTGATTGATTCGAGAAGGAATAAGCGCCAACTCGCATGCCAGTTTCACACACTGTATGCAAGTTTACACGGGACACTATGAGTATGAAACTTTGGTAACTATCAACGCGAGAAATTCTCGCCCGAACGAAACATAGAATGAAGATAACAAGATAATTCATTCTATGTTTCATTCCTTTCACAGCTTAAGATGAACTCAACAAATTGGCCTGATCCCATGTATAGGACTTCATAGCTCAGTTGGTAGAGCACTGCAGCGCTAACGCAGAGGTCATGGGATCGAATTCCGTTCAATGCCCGAAAATTTTTTTCGGGTTAATTTGCAATTGCTAAAATTGCAATTACCACTGCGACGATCATATCTTCATTTAAGTTTGTATTTCCGCAGTTCACATTATCTTCATTCTACATACGTTATGAAACAAAATGATCAACAAAACAACAACAAAATGATCAAATCTACAAAAAGGTTAACGTCATACCTACTAGACTACCTTGCGAGCGACATTTACACTCGCAATTATGCTGACTTTTCACAGGCCCCTTTTTAATTCTCCATCGATTCTGTTTTTTTCGCAGAGACTAAACAGTGAGCTTCTCTTTTCTTTTTAGGGTTATGTCTGGTCGAGGTTGTGAGTGGCAAAACTGTCTTTGATGACATCGAGAATGACTTTAGGGTACTCCGTACAAAAGTCTCCGGCGGGAAACCTAATATTCCGGTAAGGTTGACTATATTTGAGCCCTGATCCTTGCAGGTTAATCCTATAATTTTACATCACAAAATCGATACTACTCGTGATCTTATACGGAGTTTATTTTAGGAAATTTCCGAGACACAATTTGGAGAGGAGGCCGCGAAGATAAGGAAAATAATAGATGAGTGTCTGAAGACTGAAGCCTTCCGTCCCGACATGCACATTGTGCTGACAATTCTTAAGAAGCCGTTAAACGAGATGGATGCAAGCGGTCAAAAAGGTAGGTACGTCGCGAGTGGGACCAGCCAGAGATTTCTTTAAAACTGTTGGAATACTCCTACGTAGTGATGCATAGCAACAGACGTTGTAATGGGTTACTGGTCCGATACTATCTTGTGATAAGGTAGATAGTACATTGGACCATGGCAATAAAAGGGAACAGTACTTCATTTCGCTGGCAGGGCTTACGATGTAACCGGCTAATTTCAGGCTTCCCGCAAAACAGCAAATGGTAAATAGTAAGCAGTGACTAGACTTGACCCCGGTTGTTCAAACATTGGACGGCGCTATCCCCGGGATAAATCGCTATCCAGCGGATAAGTATTAGCGGGGAACCAATTGCGTTGTTATCAAAGTGGATAAAGATTTATCTAGTGAATGGCGTTACTGATCTACCTTTTGAACAACTGGACTCTGTTAGCTCCCAGTGTACGTTATTGGTCGTCCTGGAGTACATTTGGAACCCCGCATGGGGATCTTGTAGCAAAGTTAGATTCGCTGATTTCGTTCTCGTAGAGACACTTTAAAGAATGTGTCAGATTTAATTTCCATGAATTAGGCTATCGGTAGGAGTTGCTTCTGGGCTAGTAACCTTGACGATGCAAAAAACAAAATCTGCTTTCCACCAAAACCTATTTAAAATTTATTTTAAATACGTAGAAAAAGTGAAACCTGAACGTTGCTTGGGAAAATATTTCACATTTTCAGGACGGACACTCAAGCAAACACACACATACCCGTACGAATAGGAATAAAAGGAAATAGCTAAAAGCCAGGTAGCAAATAATTGTTATATCGCAAAAGGACATTTTGACCGAAATGGAGCCATCTGCGGAAAACTAACAGTCCTTAATTATAATGTAAAGGTGTTTCACTTTCTTTTCACAAGACGATTTAGTGAATTCGTCATTGGAATTCTATGTCTTGTATGAGTTTTATGGGCCTTGAAATCTAATTAACAATTATTCCACGAGGGCGCGTTGGATATGAGATGATAGATAGCCAACGAGGCGCATAGCGCCGAGTTGGCTATAATCATTTCATATCCAACAAGCCCGAGTGGAATAATTGTTTTATTAAAAACGCCCACAAAATCTCGTTGAATCGCCCCGACTAGAACAAACCGGAAAAGACAAGGGACTTCCGCTATTGACATGTCACACGTCTATCAAAACTGTCAACGCGCGAACGGGCTCGCCTAGACTGCATGAATGAAAAATCAAAACATTGTGCGATGAACATTAGTTTTTTAAAAACTCATCGTGATTCTAGGATTTTACACAGCAGAACAGCTTAAAAAACCTGGCAGATAATGTGAAGGAAAGGAATTTTTAAGTGACAGCCGTCGAAATTACTATCAATTTGGATTTTCGGTGCAGTTATAAAAGTAAGAACAACGGAGAAAAACTACTGGTATTACCTCGTCGCTTGTTATGAAGTTGTTTGAAGCCACAAGCTGGTTTTGCTGAACGAGAAAAGAAGCTATACTGCCGCCTCGATTGCTCTAGTGAATGGCTGCATATAGCCTGTATTTGTAGCTGGTTACTTGTGATTTATATTCTTGATGTTGGATAAACAAGCTGCAGTTATCTATCGGCGAGTGACTCGATCGGCGAATGGCTTCGCGATCATGAAGAAACAACACTTGTCTTCTTTCGTAGCTGGTCAAGGTACTTTAGTTCCATGTGTTTTTCGACAAACTTTCAAACAAGCTCTTGTGGCTTTTTTGTTTGTTTTTGTCTTTTTTCTTTCGTTGAAATTGCATTTCTAGTATTCTAAGAAATGAATTAAAACGATTTGCTTCGGGCGCCGTTCTATCCTTCGCGAAAAAAAATCTCAGCTAGCTTCCAATTTTAAACTGACGCGTACACCCACCATATACGGAGAACATGGTCTATTAGCTCATATACCATAACGGCTAAACCAATCAAAATGCTAGAATTGCATTATCCAATGATTCAGTTTTTAATAATATGGAATATTCCACAATCTTAGACATTAACGACTGAGCATGTTTCACCGCAAGCTTTGTGTAACAATTGTGGATCCGTTTTATTTGGGGTAAGAAGGAAGTAAATAAAGATAACGCTGATATTCATAAAAGACAACAAAAACGCCCCGTCTTTTAGTATATTCAAGCGTGTGATCAAACCATTTTTAAGGGTCAGACAGAATGCAACCTAAATACCTTAACACCTTACATCTATATTTTCCTCTAAACACACTTATATACTTAAATAAACTACGGTTTTCTTTATTTCTTAAAATGCCGCCTAGTATTTAAATTGCCCGTGGGGGGAAATCTCTATTCCTCATAAGCTCGGCTTCTCGGAGATTTCCCCGCCACAGTCACTCCTCCCAAGTAATGTACAAATTTTAAATTTAATGTTAATTAACCTATTTATTATCGTTTTTATTCTGCTTGTAATTCATTGTGTGTGGCAAAATAATAAATAAAATAAAAAGAATTTTGCTATATGTAAAGTGACAAGAAGAAAAAAACATAGTTTGAGAGATTTCAACAAGGCATAGAAGTGCTCATGGGATCTAGAGAAGTAACTACTCGCATTCAAATGTCACACCTCTATGTATTTCATGTCATTAGATGCCAAGTCTTCCCTATCTCCCGAAGGCCAATAATAATAATCAAGCATCTTAATTTTTTGTCATGAAGATGAGAGATGATTCAGTTTTGCGATTAAAGCCTTTTCCTTATTCGATCATTACAGAGTCTCAACAAGTTGATCTAGGGTCTTGGCGCACGGCTGATGACGACCGAGTGGAGCTGCGCGCTTCAGAGGCGGTTGGTTCACCTTACCCAGTTGTAGTACAAGCCTTTAAAGATGGACCAGACCATCCAACCGCAGATGACAAACAAACTGAAGAGCAACCTTCTGGTCTTAGTAGCTCAAGGTATCCTCGTCTTGACCAAGTTTTTAAAGACGATATTGGGAATGTCAGTGCTTCCAAATCTACAGAAAAACTTACAAAAAGCAGCAATCCGCCTTACCCTACAGTTGTACAGTCTTTCGGAGATGGACAGAACTCTCCATTCAAGGACGACAGGCGATCTGACGAAAAACCCAGCAGTGAACCTTATCCTCCTGTTTCACAATCATTTAAATAAGATTGTGATGCTCTGGACTCATTCATAATGAAAGTGGCCGCTTAGTTTATATGATGACCTCTTTTGGTTTTCATGCCACAGCAGCTCACTTACTCAGGTTAACAGATTTAGTTTAGAAACTGCTATCAACGAAAGTCTCATGATTAGGAGTTTCAATTTAAACGTGAGTGCTTCCGTCAGAGCTGGAAGACAATACGCAGATTACAGCCGGTTTGAAAGTAAATTAAGTAAAGAAAATGTAAATGACCCCCAGGAAATTAGGGTGGGTAATGTCCTTTTTTAAAGAAAAATATGTTAGTTCCTTGCATTTGTGATGTATAAAAGGGGGAAAGCCGTTCGAGTAAATTTCCAGAGTGAAAGCAGATGATAAGCGAGGCCTGAGTTTTTAGTAAGTGCTTCAGCTTATGTTCTTTAGATTTCCTTCTTTGACTGTCTGGAAATAATTTGATCTAGGTCATGAACGGTTAAGGGATGAATCCGGATGAAGACAAGATATTTTTTTATGTGTTTGACTGCTCCTCTATGTCAAACATTTTTGCCGATTCGCGAATGGAGGTGCGAAGATATCGACCGGCATGGATATTAACGGGCTTAACCTGGTGCTCGAGAAGTTTTCCTTTGACTTAAAGGTTTTAAACAAACAATTGAACCCGAGGGTAGCCTGCGTAGCAGGGGCTTACCCCGAGCGGGTACTCCTGGAAATTCTTGGTGAGGGTGTGCCGCCCGGTTCTCCAAATCCTGACCCTGTTTCAGACCAAAAAATGTAATTTTCCACACCCGAATTCAGACCAGACCTCTAAAATCCATACCCGTTTTCAGACCTGGCCTTTAGGCAGAAATTATGTTATCATTACTTAGATTAGAGCGCAAACAAATGAATTCTTCAAATTCATTTCGAATTTGCATATTTCTCTTTCTTTCTTACTCATTTGGAATTGAAACGATAAATACGTTCATACACTCCCGTAGTTCCCTCGAAAACCATACCTGATTCTCTGCGATTCCAGACTAAACTGGGCAAAGTGGATACCCGTTTTCAGACCAAAACGGCGCAAAATCCCTACCCGATGGGGCGGCATATACCTATATAGCTTATATAAGGGAGTAAACCCCCTCCCCCCCCGGGGGGCGCTTACCAACGCGACAGTCAAATAATTGTACAGTTGAATAGTTAACTAGGGGTAAGCAGGGGTTACCCTGCGTAGCAGGCTTCGTAAGGGGTACGGGATTGGGAGGAAGGGAAAAAGAGAGGGCGATTTTTTTTCCTGCGCTTTTCTCTCAACTTTTCGCGCCTGCCACGCAGGCTAAGTAGTGGTAAACTTCAAAGAGCATATGGTTCCAAGCTTTCCTTTCGCCTCAACGGACAAATGTAACTCATAAATTATCAGCTGAATTACACAGTACTTCAACGGACAGAGACTTAGACACAACGATCAAATTTAACGCCTCAGAGGGCGAAGAATACTTCGATTAATTGCATGTAGTAACGGAGTCGCTGGTTTGCTTAGCACCTTTCCCCTCTTTTCTTCCGCGACCAGCAAGCTAGAGTCTGCAGTTTACGCCGAATAGAGGAATCTTTACCTGGTACATCACCTCTGCTGAATACAAAGAGAAAAATGTATCCCCATGTAGGTGGATTTGATCGATATCTCCTCACCTCCATTTCAGGATTTGCAAATCGTCAAATAGAGTAGCCAAACACGCTTAAATCTCTCGTCGTCCCAACACTGAAATGCTCTAGATAGAATATACCACAAACAATATAGACATCTAGAAAGTAAAAAAGGAAATAACTAAACGCTCACCACGTTGATAATCTGCTTGCTCTCTTGGAATTTACTTGAAATCTTTCGATCTCTTCCACGTGCGTTTTACGTAATGTCATCGCACAGGAGTGAATACGCCGGATTCGACCTGATAATAAGAAAACCAATGGACTGCGCGTGCTTCTGATCTTATACCCGACAAATTTTGGCTTTTTCCCGCTATTGGAGAATAGTGTGCTGGCTCGTGTAAGGCTCGCCAGCAAAAAGTTGCCAGTTGTAATCTACTTAGAGAGCCGTGATCCTAAAGTTTCTTGTTCACTATAGTGTCAAGAAAAGTTTGCTTCATTTTAGTGTCTATGCTTTGCTTCATAAGACAAAAGAGAACGTTTAGAAAGACGACGAAATTATTATCTAATTATTATTAGTATTAGTATCTGTGTGCAATGAATAACGATCTATAACCGACACATGTATAGCAAGAAATTTAAGGGTATTAATGGTCACCGCATGTTTTTTAGGCGTAAACATTATAGTCTGTAATTGTGTGAACTTGTAAATTTTTAGCTAGTCAATAGTAGAACTGACTGTGTAGCATTGACTTAGAGTGGAAATAAAGACGTAAGAAAGGAACGTAATACAGTCCAAGTTGATTGAACTAGTGATTAGTCACTTTTGAAATGAACATTCCATATTTCAGCAACGCAGTGTGGCCTTTTAAAAGCTTCGTTAAAACGGGAAACAAAAACTTGCAACTTGCGATGTTGCGCGTTTTACCACCCACGTTCAAACCCGTTAACAACCTGATTTGTTGCAAGACAGGTTTGATGTGGGTGATATAACGAGCAACATCGCTATTCAACTCGTTTTGCAGAAGTGTTGTAAGACAAGTTGCATGTTTTTCTGTTGCCCGTTTTTCCATACCTAGTATGAGTATAACCCTGAGGAAGATCGCCCAGTTGTATCAGCGGGAAAAGTAGCGTCAGTAAGTTCATAGAATGGAAGCGGTCAGTTTTGCACTAAAAAAAGACTAAATCTTGGTATTCCAGCTGCGCTATAGTCTAGAGGTAAGAGGCTCAGCAATTGAAAGAGAAGAGAGGAAAAGGAGAGAGAGAGCCCGGGAATGAGGTTGTATCACAGTCGGCATGTCGTTGACGTAAATAAAAACAGTACCGGCGCTAAAATGGATCCCTGAGGGACCCATTCCTGCACTTCAACCCCCTCTCACCCAGAAACGCCTGGTACTCAGGCTATTAGACTAAAATAGCGATCTTAAGTTTGTTATTACAAGACATTGTTATTACAAGACATAGATTTCCTATCAGCTCGCTCACAGAGAATCAAACTCTCTGAAGGCTGTGTATCCGAATGGGGCACAGTACCTTCGGGCGTTCCGCAAGGGACCAAACTAGGCCCTTGGCTTTTTTTGATCATGATCTTCCCGTCAGTAATGCTTCTATTTGGAAATATGTAGACGACACCACAACATCAGAGGTAATAAAGAAAGGACAGCGTAGCGAGGCTCAAGATATTGTAAATGAGGTAGTAAATTGGTCAATCAGAAACAGAGTCAAGTTAAACACAGACAAATGCAAGGAGCTCCGCATTAGTTTTACATCAGATTTTGACTTTCCTCCAGTAGTCATAGGAGAGGAGTGCATCAAATTAGTTAAAGATGCTAAACGTTTAGGTCACACTATCTCTGGTGACTTAACATGGAATGCGCACATCACGAAAGTTGCTAAGAAGGCAGCTAAGAGGCTCTATTTTCTTGTTCAGCTAAAAAGAGCTCGTGTTCCACAGAAAGATTTATGCCTTTTTTACATTACATGCGTGCGCTCCGTCATTGACTATGCTGCGCCAGTTTTCCATCACGCGCTACCAGCCTACCTTTCGCAAGAATTAGAACGCGTGCAGAAAAGAGCAATGCGAATCATATGTCCTGGTATAGAATATCAGCAAGCTTTAGCGCTTATGAGTTTACCAACGGTTGCGGAGCATCACCACAACATTTGCACGCGCACGTTTGAAAGCATAATGAGCGACCCGAACCACAAGCTAAGAAAGTTGTTACCGCCTCCATATAAGAGCAACTATAATCTAAGGCACGCGCGCACTTTCACTTTGCCTCGTTGCAAGACAAATAGATTTAAGAACAGTTTTTTTATGGCCTCAGGCAGAATTGTAAATAATTTTTAGGTTTCTTATTATACGTTTTTAGTTTTAGCTATTACAATTATTGCCCATTTTTACAATTGTTAGTATAAATTATTATCATTATGTAAATACGCAATTCAGCTTATGCTGCAATGTATTTAATAGAGCACCTATCTATCTCACATTTCGCAAAACTGTATTTCACATTTCCTTAACAAATAATGTATTGAATCTGCAAATTACAAAATGTACAAAACCTAGGCGTGCCAAAGGGCTCATCCGTAACTAACCTTACTTTACACGTTTGGCTATTTAATTACTCGTAATCCTTGTTTTCTCTCTTTTGATGTTATGTTAAAATCCTTTCAAACTCCTTTATTTTCCTTTAAATATAGCAAAATTTTCCCAAAACATGTTTTGCTTTCTCAAGACTTATCCTGTGGCAATGTTTACAAAAATCTTATTCTACAAAAGTTTATAAAAGGCAGCTCTACCTGTTATGTCTACCATGTAAAAGGTACTACAGCAAAGATCCGAGAGTAAGAACCTGCATTTTCCCAAGTTAGCCTACACAGGTTCTTTCTTAAATGTTAATAATTAGCACAAATTTAGGCTACTTAGGTTCTTATTTTCCGAAGGAAAAATACATTGTAGCTATTCTGGTTTAAATGGTATTCAGTGTATTCCTTATATAAATTTGGCATACCATTTCATTTCAGTTGGAGTGAAAAAGCTTGTGGAAAGTCTACAGAATTTATTTTTATAGAGTTTAGAAAATAAGAACCTGCTTCAAATTTTATGCTAAACAAGTTCTTTTAAAGAGGGGGCTTAACTGGCAAGTTTTAGCCCAACAGGTTCTTAAAAACCAGTTTCTTACTCATCGGTTTACTGTATACCTTTGGAATATGTGTTTAAAATCCTAAGAGGCTATTTGCACGATGGCATCATTTACTACTATGACCAAAATCCTTCAGGGTTTTCCTTTCTTGTACAAATTACGGCTTTTGTCATATAAATTTCGCTGGGATTACCAAATTTAAATATGAAAAGAAAAACAAAAAAAGATTCTGGTCATAGTAA